ACAACCGGGGTTCCATCCAGAAGGACTTCAGGCTTCCAAAAGTAACTCTGCAGAGGTGTACAACTGTACCCACTAGGACACCAAGGGCGAACCTCCATACACCGGGTCCAGTTGTAAGGGTTGCCTCATGGTTCCGACCTTTCCTCAATGTGGCTCTCTTATCGATGAACGGTTTGACTAGGTCCTGATGTAATGCCATCACATCTACACCGCGCAACCTCTCATGCCGAATCCGCCCGGTAAGTGAGTCATCACCAAGTAATCAGCTTATCGCCCCCATTTGCGACAAGTGGTCTATACGGGTGGTCAATCAAACTCACTATCTCATGAACGGTCCTTAATCGCTCCACGAGCTATGCCACATGAGATCCCACACTCACCATGGCCTTACCCCTCGCTTGAGCAGCAAAAGTCCAAATTCAGCATCATGAGAAGTGATTCAAATTAAGTTAATCCTGAAGTCACATTGAGTAGTTAGGTCAAGTTGTCACCCCTCCAATATTTTAAGTAATTAATTATCCCAATGTAGCTTCCTACATGCGCGAGAGTGAGTTCCCTTCTCACACTCAACTTCTAACGAAGCTAAGCAAATAAGCAATTAAGCGTCCCAATTCCCGTTGATTAAATGAAAGGCTCTAATTAATTAGTGAATGGTTCTAAATTAATGAAGTATGATTAATTTACTTAGTCAGGTTTAGATGAAATGAAATCTCACAATGAAACAAGTAATGAGTATCCAAAATAGGGTTTGTGGGTTGCCTGCCTGCTAGGACGCATTGACATTGGCAGCCGATGACGACGATCTATACACGTTCCTTCACTTGCTAAACGAACCTGAAAGAGAGGATAGAAAGGATTGAAGATAGCCACTCGATTGGATAAGGAGATGATGATTGAGATCATGATTTGGAACTTGGGAAGAGATCTCTAGTGAGGCTTCTACTATTGTACTAATTTGTGTTTAAGTGTATCTAAGGTTTGAGGATCTCTTGGGTAGGGTTCTACCTTATACATCTCTGTCTAGCGACTAGCAGACACTCCGCACGGGGTGGCGGACACTCCGCGGGCTCGCGGAATGTTCCGAAGAACGTTCCGTCGGATTGGGATTTAGGCATTTCTAGGCTCAGAGTGTTCTGGCAGACGGTCTGTGATGACTGGCGGACACTCCGATAGGTTTAGGCTGCTCTCGGGTTCTCTGTGTTCGATTTATATAAATTGGCAGATACTCCGTGGGTTATGGCGGACGTTCCGGTAGGAACTAGGTGCTCTCGGGTTTTTGGTAACAGGTCCTTATAAATTGACGAACGCTCCGCGGGGACTTGCGGACACTCCACTGTTCCACTCAGGAAGGGTTTAAGTGTTTTGGCTGTTGAACTCGGCTAGGTGAAGGGATTGACGGACGCTCCGGTAGGTGTAGTAGATCCTCCGTCCGTCGAGCGACATAACCTATGTTCTTGGGTGTTGGTTTGGGAAAAACCTATTTTGGCGGTTGGGTTCTTCATGCATGTGCAAGATAACTCTAGGGTTGTGTTAGACTCTTACTAGGCTCATGATGGCTTGGGTTTGGGCCTAAGGGTTCAAGTGCTACTAAGGGTTCATGCATCATCCAACCATGAGGGAGAGATGAACAAAACTTGAGATTGGGCCAAAGAGAACTTAACTCCGAGATTAGTGACCATGGGGTCACCTAGATCATGGATAAGGACTTGCTCATCCTTGTATTCCAACTTAGAGAGATATGTTGATCATCCATGGCATTTCTTGCAAAAATCCAAAATATTCATATGAGAGAGCGGAGGTTGATTCATGAGAGATTGAGCATGACATGATCTTGATCTTACCTTTGTGATGGTGGAGAAGTCATCACATTCCATACTCCATCATCCATGAATGAGAGATTGAGAGTTAGGGTTTGAGAGAAATCCAAGAAAAACTTGAGAAGAGAGCTTAAGAGCTAACCACGGCTAGGGTTTGAGATGGAGAAGCTCATAAGCTTGAAGGAGAGCTGATCTTGATGCTTGGGCTCCACTTCATCTTCTTCCTTCTTCTACTTCTCCACTTCTCTCTCTAGTTCTTCCTTGCTTTCCTTTTCTTGAGAGAGAGAGAGGGAGAATGAGAAATGAGAGAGTGAGAGATGGGGTGAGCTGAATCTGCTGAGGTATATTTCCATTTCGTGCATATGATAGGTGGGGTCCACAAGAGAGTGGAGGACAGCTCATTTCCCACTTACTGCTGCTATTCTGCCGACTGGCGAATGGTCCGTGGGATCCAGCGGACGGTACGTTAGTCCACTTCCTTGACATATTTGGTCAAGGACCAAGGTCCTCGGCATTGGGGCCAAACTCTAGTTATCCAAAGATTTATCCATGACCTTGGGGAAAAATTGGAAATCTAAACCAAGTTAGTTTCCTTCAGGGAGAAGCAATCATACCGTTGGATCTCTCCTCATTAAGGATAAAGTTGGCTGTTGTTGAATTTAGTTGAACCTTCATAGTGGCCAAGGTGTGATCCAATTGACTAGAAATTCGCAGGTTCTCGTGCCCGATCAAAGCACCAGTGATCTCCAAAGGAGAGCAGTAGATATTACAAGTTCCAAGATCTCTTTTGATTAGTTAAGTAACGGAGATCTTAGTTTCATATGTATATATATGACATGCATGTGTAATTAACTTGAATGCTGGTTCGTGCTACGATAACGACGAGACACGATTGAATGTGGCACATGTATATATATGTTTGTGCTCTGCATGCGTATTTTTTGCTTTGTCTGTGTTTAAATCGCAAAAACAGGATTCAAATTCAAATTCAAATCAAATGGCGAGAAACTATTTTTTTAATCTGGAAAATCATTAACAGAGGCGGGCAAGTAATAAACAGCCGCCTCCGTTAATCCTTTAACGGAGGCGAGCGACTTAGCGCAACCGCCTCGGTTAATCTATTAATGGAGGCGGGCTTCTTAGGGTGACCGCCTCCATTAATAGGCATTAACCGAGGCGAACGCCGTTAATAGATTAACTTAGGCGGGCAACCGTTGGTCTGCATTAACGCAGACGTTTCGACGGAGGCGTTTGCTTTGCCCACCTCCGAAAACCCAAAACGCCTGCCTAGGATAAGTTCTCTGTAGTAGTGGACCCGTCGGAGAGGAGCACGTGGAGGGTGTCCTAGAACCAGCAAGGCCGCCTAGAACACCATCGAAATCTCGCTGGGAGACATGACGAACAGCAGGGTAGAGAGGAAAAGGGGTGAAAGGGTGTAGTAGATGTGTTTTTGTCGATTGGAACTTGGGATCCTCAATCGGCCGTGATCCTCTCGTATATATAGAGGGGGTGGTCTTTTATCCCAGTAGGAAACAATTCCAAAACGCGTTCTTCAAGTTTCCCACGTCAAAAACATACGAAAAACCGATTTGGAAACTAAACCGGTTCGGAATCCAGGGGGAGTTGGCTAAGCCGACTTTTATGGGCCCGGAAACCCTGTCACGGGCTAAATCAATGGACAATCAGCTTAGCCGACTGAGGTAGTCGGCTAAGCAGACTGGGGGTGGTGAGCCGGCTGAGCCGGCTTGGCAAGTCGGCTAAGCCGACTAGCCCTGGCTCGCCTGGCTCGCTTTCTTCCCCGCGCGTTTCTTTCAATGTTTTGTTGCGCCGTTTGACCTCCAATATGATTATGACATTAAGAACTTGCTTGAGGTGCCCAAATCTACCTTGAGACACTTTTGAGTGTCAACAGGATGGTAGTGGTCTCGGGCGCAACCTTGGGTGTGGAAATGGTGGCCTCAGCTGGGACCTGCCCCTCAAGCGTCTCAGGCTTGGTTGTGCAGGCACCCATGGCTGCCCCTGGCTGCTGTGGCGGTTGCGGCGATTGAGTTGTTGGCCGGTGGAGGAGGTGAGGAGGTGCTTGAATGTGTGGAGGTGGCTTGGCAATGGCGGAGATGGTCTGCATTTATAAGAGGATATGTAGGCTGGTTAAATTTAGACGAGATGTTAGCGATGGTTTGGAGGGGTTACAGGAACAACCAACCCAACATGCGCGCATCTGTAAATGGTACATGCACAACCTGGTTCCATATATAGAACACGAAAGATACACTTGTGGTTCTTGCTTTGTCTTGCTGTTGTTGACGTGAAGAAGAACACAAAGAGCGACACACACACACAGGGGTGGAACTTTGTGTAGACAAATGTGGGCCATGGCCGCCCTTAACCAACCACTTAATTAAGTGCCGATGAATTACCAATGTGGCTCCTCTATTAGTGCCTCAAGTTTGATTGCCCCCTTCTCAATTTTAGTTCAAGCTCCACCACTGACACATATATGAATATGAGTCGGGTATAGGATCGGAGTTGTAACATAACTCCCACCAAAATAATAATAATAGTAATAATAACAATAATATAAAGGCATATTGAGAATTGCTCCCTCCTTTCCAATTTGTAGGTCGTTTTGATTTTTTTTAATATACTCCATCCGTTTCAAATTATAAGTCGCTTTGACTTTTTTAGTTCATCCATTTTGTTATGTATCTAGACATATTATTATATCTAGATGCATAGCAAAATAGATGTACCAAAAAAATCAAAACAACTTCTAATTTGGAATGGAGGGAGTACATTATATTATGTATGTAGATATATCGTATATCTAAGTGCATAGCAAAACCTATGTACTTAGAAAAGCGAAAACGACCTATAATTTAGGACAGAGGATGATAGTTCATTAAGCAATCACATTTTAATAGTATGTAGAGTGGGATACTCATAATATATATACACTGCTGATACAAGCTTTCATCCCTGAAACTGAAAGGAGGTGATGAATAAATCAAATCATTCAAATAACCAGACTTTCTGAAAAGAACACGAAAAAACAAAACACACACACGCATGTAAGCCGAACAACAATATCAAGGAAGCTGGAAATAGAAGGCAAATAAAGCACGTATGGAAATGGCATGGGCAAACACACAGCTAGGCCTGTTGGCCCCTCATCCTTGGAGATCATCAACATGGCGTCCTGTTGGCCGGCGGCGGCCTGGACACGCCGATGTGGGTGGTGAGCGCCCAGAGCACGGTGATGAACTCGCTTCCTTGCACCAGGGCGCCCTCATGCCCCATCACACGCTCCTCCTCGCTCGACGGCGCCAGGTAGATGATGAGCTCCGTCCACACATCCGCCAACACCATCCACCTGTTATTAGCAGCTGCTTCGTCTGTCATCAGAAACTTGCCTAGCTTCACGCCGTCACGCACAACTTTGCTGCATTCATCACTGGGGGTCAGCGTCGGGCCGTCAATGAGATTCCGGACCCGCGCCCATTGCAGTGAGAAGTAGTACTCCCGACAGCTGATCATGGCCTTGAGCTCCTCCTTCATCTCCTCGAAGACGAGCTCCACCTTCTCCGGATTCTCCGGCAGTAGCTCCGGGTGGAAGGCCACCAGGTAGGCACAGTACTTGGACAGCGTAATGGCCACCCTGCTGAAGGTTGTTCCTTCCGTGGCGCTGCTTGTCGTCTGCGGGCGGCGCTCCACCTCCATGATGCTGGTGGCGATGTGCCATGCGAGGATGACCTCGGCGATGCTGTCGCTCTGGCATGCCCACGACAGCGTGTCCAAGAGGCCGTTCCTCCGCAGCGCGGACCTGCCACGGTCAAGATCATAGTTTGGGGTACCACGCCCATGTTCCACCAGGTAGTCCATGATGGATTTCTTCACACTGTTCGGCACTAGCCTTTTTTGCACCGCTAAGCCGGTGAACGCGGCAAACAGTGGCAGCTTGAGCGGCCAGCTGACATTCAGGACGGAGAACTGCTTGAGGGTTAGGCTGGGGTGGCTCATCTTGCTCCGCAGCCACATGATGATGCTGAAGCCCACCCAGAACATGGTGCCCCGGAAGGTGGTGTTCCTCAGCCAGCGTGGTTTGGAGGTGTAGTTGTAGAGCATGGACACCATGAACCAGTTGGAGAGCAGGAAGACGAAGAACTCCCATATCTCCTCGTAGAAGTAGATGATGAACAGAAGGATGGTGATGGAGAGGTCTACGATGGAGAAGAATGCTGAAGGTGTGGTGACACTGCGCAGAAGGCAGATGGCTATCTTGAATACCCCAGATTTCAAGGTGTAGTTATCTGTGGCTATGCTCTGGAACGCGTAGCTGACGTCACCGTTGGCGCAGAGAATGACGGTCATGACGCACAGGACGGCGACGACTATGTTGAGGAGGAAGTAGTTGAGGAAGAGGAAGAAGGGGCTTGCAAGGACAACAGGGACAACAGAGTGGTAGTACTCACTAAGGAAGTTGATCTCGTCGTTCATGACCTGGAACATTGCTTCGGCTGAGCAGGTTTCGCCATTGTTGTAGAGGCCTTTCAGGAGGAGGTCCCGGGAGTTGTCCTCTTCTTGTTTGCTCACCGCCGGCAGGTGCTCAAACCTTCGGCGCAGCAGCTTGAAGAGAGCGAACGAGAGGCAGATCCTCTTCAGGCGTTGGATCTGCTCTTGGGAGGTGAAGAACTTGTCCCTGTCGTCGAGCTCCCAGACTTTACCGACAGTGACGATGCCGCTATCATTTTTTCTGATCCATTTGACGACGCCGCCGCCGTCATAGCCTGAGGAGCTGGCCTGCTTGTCCAGCTTGTAGCCATCTGCAGTGGGCTCAATGCCCACCAGATTCTCTTCTCCCATCACAATGTAGTTGCACCTCTTCAACACCTCGTCCCCAGCATCGATACCACCCTGGACAGAAGCTCGAGGCTCCTCCTGTTCCAGGATCTGGGCCATGTACGAGCTGAGGAGGCGGGCGTTCTTGCCATGGGCGTAGGATCGCTTCCCGAACTCGGTGAAGGCGATCCTCTGCAGCACCCGGGTGGCGCAGAGGATCCAGAGGATGGCGAACACCGCCTTCCGGCCGGTGTCCCTGATGTTGAAGAAGACGAGGCTTCCCAGCCAGACGACGCGGCCGGCGCGCTGGATGGTGCCGGAGTAGCCGCGCATGCGGATCTCGTCCACCTTCTTGCGCAGGAGCTCCACCAGGAGCATCCATGCCAGGATGAGGCCGGCCCTCAGGGAGAGGTCAGCAACGTGGCCAGTACCCACGGTGGTGGTGGAGTACTGGCCGGCATGGTTGTTCTTGGCTTCCGAGAAGAGGTAGGACATGACGGGGAGGAAGAGGGAGAGCGCCGAGGAGAGGAAGAGCCGGACTTTGGGGTCGAGGATGGAGCTGATGTCGGAGATGCCGCTGAAGAGGTTGAGGTTGAAGAAGAGCCCGGCGAGGGCGAACATGATGACAGAGGCTGCCACCATGTTGGGCTCATTGCTCTTGTCGGTGTAGGATTCTGTAAGGTTACCGATGTAGGTGTTAATGGTGTCTGGGCACATCCGATTGCTGATGATGTGGCTCATTGTTGCATGCAATGCAAGCGTCGTACCAGTTCTACAAGTTCTCGAGTGTTAGTTTCGTTCAGGGATCGTAGCCCTACCTGCTTGCTCTAGCTGGTTTGCATTGTTAGTTGGGCGCTGGAGCTATTGCCTTTGCACTCGATCATATATAGTCCAGTACTGCGAGGCTACCGTTGTCGGCGAATATGGCATCGCGTGTATGCCAAGTTAGTTTAACATGCATACACTCCTGCAGTCCTGCTTGGGTATCAAGTGCGTGCGCTGAGAATGAGATCGATCCGATCGGTCGGGGTGATGGATCGATGTGACACAGAATGTGACATACAGATAGCTCTTCGCATTTTGATTCGCATGATTGGCTCCTCTTGTTCATCACGACCTGATGAGCTAGTCTTTGTTTTATTCTTTCTCCTCAGCTTTATCTTTGGAATTTGGTTCCATTTGTGCTTTCCTTGCTTTTTTCCTTCTGCTGAAAGCTCGCACACTAAAGATCTATCGACGCAACTTTTGTCAGCTGTAAGCCAGCTTCCGCAATGGCGGAGGACGAAATAAAATTAAGGTATGAAAAAGACTTTATAGATAACAAATGATAATTAACTTTATATCAAATTCACAATAAAAATTTTAAATTGCAAACATATCTCTATTTTAGCATTGGCCTTGCCCACATCCTTCTTATCCATCTTTGCTTCTGTTGTCCTAAGAAACACTTATTCATAGGCTTGCAACCGCGGCTAGTAGCAACTTGCGCACTTTACTCAGTGAGATGCACATCTGTAATAGTAAAGTACGTAGTATTGTGCTCACGATATCCTCTCTTCCAACAAAACATGGTTCAAAATATCAAATTACGACTCATATGAGATAAACAAGTCAAAACAATAATTCTTAATTTATAAATAATGAAATGTAGAAAGAAAACCACAATAGCTCCGGGCAGTAGCACAAAGTCCTAGGTTTTTTTTTTCAAGCATGCAAAATCCTAGATAACCAACACAAGCATGGAGGGATGAGCACTCCTTACCTGCTCGCCGTGTCCACAGCAGCACAGGCTGCTGGGGCATTAACGTTTTTTTTTTAACTTTAATAACGTTTTGGTTGGCCCACAACAGCAAAGACAGAGACAGGACCATAACGTTTTGATTGGCCCAGCTAGCGGTGCATAGCTTCTTCCTCCTCCGTATCTCTCAACTCAGGAACAGATCGGAAGAAAACAGCCATGGCGGACATCAAGGAGTTTTGAAGCCAAATCGAGGTATGGCGAGCACCATACCTCGCCATACTTAGTCCTCCACCCCTAGCTCCACGTTGATCCGTATACATACAACGGTAAGCTTTAGATTGCTTTGCAAATTTGTACTCTTTATTCCTTTATATTAATTAATACAATTACTGTAGAGGCCTGCCCCTCCAGTTCTGAGGTGGTCGACGTGCAATATGCACTACTATAGGAAACTTAATGAAATCGGACATATTTGCTTTTTGAGGCGGGCATTGCAACTGCATCCGTAGGTCTGCATTAACGCAGACCTTTCGAAGGAGGCGGTTGCTTTGCTCGTCTTGGTTAACCGAGTAGAACACTCGCCTCAATAAATCAATACAAAAATTCACCAGCCCGCCAGTGAGCCCGTTCTCGAACCTACCGGTGAGCCTGTTCACAGCCCACGAGTCAGATCTAGCCCACTGTCGCCTGTTGTGCCGTCGTTTGCCCGTCGCCGTTCGCCGCCCAGAGTAGACAGAGAGAGAGAGAGAGAGTAGATCCAAGCCGTCTGTTCGCCCGCCATGCCGTCGTCGCCTTGGATCTACGACGAGACCGAGAATGAGAGAGGGAGACAGAGAGAGAGGGAGGGAAGGTCCAGCGCCGCTGCGGCCGAGAGTAGACCGAGAGAGAGAGAGGACACCTGCTTGTGGGCGTATCTGGCTGCAGGGTGCCTAGGATCTGTGCAGTGGCCGGCCGCTGAGTGTCGTCACCGAAGGTCGAGAGGGCAAGCCGCTGGGCGTGCACTCCGCCCTGCACCTCCGCCTCGAGCGAGCGCCGCCGTGCCCCTCTGCCCCGCGCGAGCGCCACTTGGCCTGCAGAGAACGAGAGAGAGAGCAGCGTGGATGAGGGAGTTAGAGAGACAGAGAGGGAGCGCTGGGAGACGGAGATGGAGTTTGCAAGGTGAGAGGTGGCGCTATGCTCGTGGCGAAGAGAGGTGGTGTGCGGCGGTGGGTGAGGGAGAGAGACGGCTGTGGTGTGAGGTACAAACCCTAAGTGGCACATATATACATGAACACAACAATGGGCTGCTGTGGGTTAGCGGGCTGGGCCTGATTTATGGAGGCGGACGTCTTATAAATGCCTGTCTCCGTTAATGATTTACCAAGACAAACATTTTATCGCCTCCGTAAATAAAATGTCCGCCACTATGAATGCATTTTGCGAGATGGTCAAGTGTGACCGCCTCTATAAATAAAAATGTCCGCCTCCATAAATCCTCAAGCATTTTACGAACAGTTGGATTTTCTGACCTCCTCGGTTAATGTTTGGGCAGTGCCTTGTGAAATCATTTGTGCAGTAGTGATGTCAGGCGATAAATCCGTGCGCGAGGGATCGAGATCAGTGAAAGATGGATTAGGAGACTTTGATCGAAGGGCCAAGAGACCGAGAACGGACTATGGTTGGCTCGCATTGGACACGTGGAAGAGCAAGAGTAATGGTTGATGAAGACAGCATTGACTAGAGTCAAGGCCGAGGTAAGAGCAAGTCAAGGTGAGGTGTCGTGAGCACTTGGTAGATCACTGGACTGAGGACATAGAGATTTCATACACGTCGACATCGGTGAATCACGCCTAACAACGCATTCCTGATATTTTGCTGGTTTAGTCTTCAAAACCGAGCAGGCACAATTTGGTGATTTGGGCCTCAAAATTATCGATCACAGGTTAGAATTTTGATTGGTTTGGGCCTCGAAACCAAGAGTGGTGAGTTAGGGGACACGTGACACCATCACGAAGCTTGCGTCGATAAAAAATGCCATAGGTCTTTCGGTACATGCTACAACTTAACAGCAACACCGTAAGTATGATATTATACTCGATAGGACTTACCGAAATACCCAAATAATACACAAAGGAATATGCACTATATTGCTCTATCCTATGCATTCCCAGAAGGGGTTTTTTTCTACTTTGGAAATGTGTGGGGTGAACGCGCGATAGGTCGCTCCATTGTGTAATGTGCGACCCCTTCCATAGTAATGTTATTTTCTACTTTCATAGATGTGCAAATACCATTTCCCTCGTCGTAGAAGCCACCGGCGGCACCTGGCATGAGCCCCTATCGTCGGCCGTGCTCCTCCATACGCGCGCTGCCCAGGCCCCTTCAGGCAGTCGAGCTTTTCCTTCGAGCGTGAGAAACAGAAGGGGAAAGGTGGCTTTACATTGGAGTTAGGAATCAATATTTGACACTGTAGCACTTTTGTTTGTATTTGATAATTATTGTCTAATCATAGTCTAACTAGGCTTAAAAGATTCGTCTCGTAATTTACAATCAAACTATGTAATTAGTTATTTTTTTATCTATATTTAATACTCCATGCATATACCCAAAGATTTGATATGATGAAGAGAAAGCGAAAAAACTTACGATCTAAACAAGCCCCGGAATAGGAAAACTGAAGGCAGATTCTAGGTGGCCGTGCTCTCCTCTCCACTCGAATTCGTGGCGTGGCAGTAGCTCCGCCTCCTGCTGCTTGCGCGCTTTGCCACTCCCGCCCCTAGCCTCCTTATGCTGGTGGCGGTGGACAGGCGCACCCAGGCGGTGGGTGGCTACAGCCTGGCCCTGGGGCCTGAGGGCGGCGGCGGTGCAGCCTGTTGCCTGTCGCCCTAGTCCCTACTACTAGCAATTCGCACCGTCGCGCTGGGCCTGGGCAGCTGGCCGCTGGCCGGCTAGGCCTCAGGGATTGTGCGCAGTGCGCCTGTGCCGCTGCTGGCCTACTGTTTCATTTTTTTGGGTGATTTTTTGAATGGTGTTGGTGGAGATGGGTGAGGGAGGAGATAAAGCCATAGGCATGGGTGGAGGAGACGGAGCTGGAGCCAACGATGGGTCTATCAGAGGCACCACGAGTAGCTAGGTAGGCAGGTCGAACTCCAACTCCAACTCTATTGAACAAGAAGTATTATAAGAAACTAGGTATGCTTGGATAGTTGGATTACTTGTTAGTCAAATAGATAGAGATTGATCACTCATTAGAAACGGTTATGCTTACGGAGATTTGAAAAACTTCTTTACTACTAATACCATCATCTTCAATCTTGGTCTACATCATTTGTTTGTTAAATTATCGATTAGAATATATTTTTTGCGTGCTTAATAACCAATATAAATATAGTGTATATATGTCTAAACCGAAATATCGATCAAGTTTGGTTTTTATATATAGGTGGCGGTCTGCCGGTCCGCCCTACCTCATTTTTTTTTTGGCTGGGTCCACCGCTGGTCCCTAGACGGGCGCATTGCACGATCATGGGCTGTACTGACGGGCCTCGCGTGGTTGGGCCTCTGCAAAACTTTGGGCCATACCTGCCTCCTCTCTGTATCTTCTCCATCCATCCCATCCCATTCATCCAGGAGGGCCGCGACACCTGCACTGCACGCGCCGTAGCGAGGCGAGGCGGGGCCAAGGGACGGGAGAGTGTGAGGTAGGGATCGGAGCAGGGCGAAGATGATCTACCGCAACTGGTCGCTGCTCTCGTCGACGGTCGTCATCTGGGGCGGCGTCGCCACCGCGGGCCTCGCCGGGATCTTCCACTTCGGCGGCAAGGTACTACTCTCGATACCCTCTCTGGTGGGCGTATCTGCCCGAGTCCCCGCTTCTGCGCCGTCCCGTGTTTGTTTCGGCTCTTCGGCGGCAAGGTACTACTCTCGATAGTCGATACTGGAGGGCGTATCTTCCCGAGTCCCCGCGTCTGCGCCGTCCCGTGTTTGTTTCGGCAGCTCCGTCGGTAGATTGGTGGCATGA